AGGAGGATGTGGAAAATTCCAAAAAGCAAGAATCACGAGAATAGCATAATAAAACAAAGTTAAAATAAATAAATAAATAAATAAAAATAATACTATATAACTATAACATCAAAAGTAAAAAAAATAAAAACATAAAATAATAGTAAAAAAACAAGGACCCTGTCTCCATGTCAGCCGCTGAAACAGTGTACAGTTTGCAGTGACTATGGAGTGTGAACTGTAAAAATTTGAACTACTACCTCACAAACATAATATTTATTACTATATTAACATAATCTATATTAAGATTAGCTAATAATAAGAATATACTAGTTAAATTTTGTTCCGGAAATATCTACATTTATCAAGTATACCAAACTATCGATAAAGAAAACTATTTCGATACATTAAAGCTCTCGTTACATAAAAAATTTGGAGAAAGATTTAATTATTACTATAAAAAAATGCTTTTTTTAGCGTTAATTATCACATTTTATAAATATTCTTAGAATTAGAATTAACAAAAAACTATTGGAACTTGATTCTTTTTTAAAAAAAAATCAAAAGCTGACACTCTTGTTTTACATAAAAAAAATTAATTTTTTTCTTTAATGTGTGTGGTATTTTTTTTTTTTTCTGAAATATATACAAATGTACCGATATTCATACTTTCTTTAACTTCATGTCCTATTCGATATCCATGTTGTATATATGGTCAAAATTAGGTCTACACCTCATGTTGTTGACGTGTTTTTAATACACGGACTTGTTCATTGCATAATTCACAAATAAATATATTTTTTTACAATTGAAATAATTAAAATTGTATATATTGCTCATCATAAAAATAGGAATAACCTACTACTTCAGTTGGAAACAACTATCCTGATTATATTTATTTTTAATATTTCTTTTAACCTTTTCTCGTCAATAATATTTAGGTGGAGAGTATAAAAAATTTATATTGTTAAGATAGTTAGAGCTAAAATTTTGAACTTATGAATTCTGAATGAAAAATCAGTCATTATCCTGAAGTCGTTCTTGATCATATATTTTGATTGATTTCATAGGATACATGTCATATTTTATCACTAATGGAAACTAGAGTACTCCGACCACCTAGTAACTGTAGGGGTGACTCGACAGTGTTAAAGAAAAAAATATATGTGCTTTAGGCCCCTAAATTTAAGGGGTCTCATTTTTATAATAATAGGTTATACGTTATTATTTTTTTAACAAATATTGAATACTATTTGTAGAAAAGATAAACTTTTCATGAAAAATGAAGAAATTATAGAAGAAATTGACATATTTAAAGCATTATATCTCATAAAAAATAATTTAAAATAAGAATGGTTATACTATCAATTGAAAACTAAAAGAAATTAATTATATAAAGTTATTGACGATTCAAATTTAATGCCCCGTTTAATTTTTGTTTTAGGTCACTAATATACTTGAGCCGTTCGTGATAACAGCGTCATATACTTGGATATGATAATTTTGCCACTAGCATGCTATAACTTCGGAGAAATTAAAGGGTTATTATGAGAGATCATGACCATGAAATTAAGGAATGCTCGAATTGATTAAGGTTTGTCTACAAAATTAATGATGTGTTTCATGAAAAAAAGTAACGCATAAGATACTATATATTATGTTGTCTTCATGATAATAATGTTGTAAATTAAAAAAGCAAACACTTTTGGATAATTTAGTTTAGCTTCTTAAGGAAGATTACTACTGTTATGATTTTTAAAGAAGTTTTGGATAATTTTTGTACATAAGTTAGTGTGGAGAACAGCCAAAAAGAAATGAAAAAAGTTAATAAGTGATGATTGGCATGGTGAAATAGAGAAATTTTACTTTCTTTTAACAATAATAATTAATCGAGTATCATAGATAGCCATGATCAAAATAATCAGTTGTGGTATCTTATTGAAATAATTAGCCATCATTTTCCCTATGGTTTCACTTTGGGCCATGTTATATATGTCCCTACGTTTTACCGTCAACTCTTACCACTTATAAAAAATTAATCGATATTCGATATTAATATTAAAACTCAATTCAAATAATTTCATGTTACAAGGTCGAATCTAAAAATTCGAATAAATCAGTGTTTCACTTTTATCGTCAAACCCCCACCATAAAGGATATATAATGCATGCATATTTATGAATTATGTTCGTATTCTGACAAGAAGTTAAGGTAGAAGGAAGTGACTCTTAATTTGATGTATATAAAAAAATAATCCATAATTAAAAATACTATAGGAGTTATAGCTTTGGTTTTATTAAAAAAATTAAATGTGAAAAAGAAATTCTTGGGCCATTACAAGGAAAGAAAAAGCTATAATGATTTATTTTGCAGCTATTCATGAAAAAACTTTTTAGGCCAATAATTCAAAATGCACCACCTGAGGCATGTCAAAAAGTGAACCAAAAAAAATGGTTAGTTAGGCAAATGGTTCAAAGCTCAAAGAAGCCTAGAAACAGTCTAAAAAGTGAAAATGAAAAAAAATAAAATAAATAAATATTCCATTAAATAATAAAAGTGAGAAATTTCAAAATAAAAATAATAACAATTGTATGAGCTAATGTTATATTGAAGTTTGGAATATTTACAAGAAGAAGAGAAGCAAATAGAAGAAGAAGAAGTGAAATGTTGTCACTTTGGAACAGGCTTTTTTGAATCATGTCACGTAGTTCGATGGATGCTTTTTTTTTTTTTAATTTTATTTTTACCATATGATGCTTTTATAAATGCCTGCAAAAAAAACAGTAAGATGAGAAGTAGAAAAATTAAAAAATGATTAGATTCGAAATTGGGAAGAGAGTAAGTGTGTGGTGTTGTTGGGTTGGTGCCATAACACAACAAATAGATACATACAAAATGAAGTCACTCGTTAGACGTGAAGTTAAAATAGACCACTCTTCTTCTTCTACTTCTATTTCTTTCTAGTTTTCATATGATTCTAGTTGGTTTCTAAATTATAAACTATCTAACAGAATGACCAAATTGCCCTTCTTAGTTTATAATTATTAAATACGACAAACAAAAACAATAATATATTCGGTCTGATTTCACAAGTGAAGTTTGAAGAACGTGAACATTACCTGATTTCATAAGTGAAGTTTGAAGAAGATGGAAATATATATCCACTATGATTCCACAAGTGAAGTTTGAAAAAGATGGACATATCTAGTCTAATTTCACAGGTAAAATTTGAAGGTGGACATATACACGATTTATAACCCTTAGAAAGATTGTTTCTGATAAACTTGATATAACCGTTCATAGTTTATATATACCTTAGTTAAGAACTTAATAACTCCCATCATAAAATTTACTTTTTTAAGAGAGACATGACTGAACATAACAATCCATAAATTTTGTAATTAAATAATTTAGTCGTTGATAATTCAATATAATAATCGATTAAAATATGTTAGCTATGAATAATATAGTGATGATTTCGTAGCTAATTTATCTACAAGAGTTTGAGGGGTTTATTAACATTGATAACAAGTTTTTCTACAAATGACTAAAACAACAATGTTCCAAATTTTCTACCTAAACATAACATCATATGGGAAATATAGCCAAAAAGAACATATGAGTACCAAATATTATCCAATACTAGTTTTAGAAAGTTGGTCAAAACTTCTAAAAGAAGATGAAGAAAATTTTACACTCAGTAATTTTTGTAGTAGTACTTACCAAAACATATTATAATTATTAATTATACATCCCAATTAATAATACTTCTGACCAAACTTACTGGATTGACCAAATAAAAAAGAAAAACTTTCCTAGAATCGTTTCTTTTTAGAACTTTTAGCTATGCTTATTTCTTTGATATATATGTCACACGTCAAAAAAGTTGAAGTCGTAGCTAGTCAAAGGTTGGTAAAAATAGAGAAAATGATGAAACTTAGCTTAGTTTGGAACTGTAGTAGTAACACTAATAGTATTATTTCTTACAGAAGTAGCAGTTACAAGAGAGATTTTGATTTTATTTTACCCTCAAAAAATAAAATTGATGGCACCGTCATTTTCATTATTTATATGGAAGTTGTTTGAATTTTCACTAAAATTTTATAAATATTATATGTATATAAAACATATTAATTTTAATTTTATTTATACAATACAATTTTCTGTTGAATAAAGTCCCGATGAATTCTTGGCTCCGCCTCTAAACTACGCACCTTCGTATGCATGATTATGGATTTTTTTCAATTTGGTCATGATTATGAGTAAAGTGATTAATTTACTGTGTTATAAACTTTTTTCCGTTTTAAATACACACCTTCGTATGCATGATTATGTTTTTCTTTTTCTCTATAATTTTGTCATAGTGTATGCATGATTATGGATTTTGTTCAATTTGGCCATGGTTATGAGTGAAGTGATTAATTTAATTACTGTGTTATAGTTTTTCCGTTTTAAATACACACCTTAGGATGCATGATTATGTTTTTTCATTTTTTCTTTTTTGTATAATTCGGTTGATATTAAGAGTAAAATGATTAATTTAGTGTGTTATAATTTTTTTCGTTTCAAAATAAGTAGTGTTTTAGAATTTCAAGAAGGAATTATATTTTATTCTTTCAAACTTTAGAGTAATTTCTAAAGAGACGTATCTTAACTATAATACATTACTTATTTTAAAACGAAATGAACTTTATTTAGTTACAGTAGTGTGCATGAGAGGATTAAAAGTTTACGTCTAATATAAAAACACCACTTATTTTAAAACGGAAACGAATTTTATAATATTGTAGTAGTGTGCGTGAGAGGATGAAAGTCAGTAGAAAGAGAAGAAAAAGAAATGTCACGGGTTTGTCTTGAAAGGCCCTTATTTCACAGTCCTAGACATACAGACACTTATTCTCTCTCACTACATAACCGAGGTCTCTTTTCCCTTTACTATAATATTATAAAAAAAAAATAATATATATTTACTCATTTTTATAAAAATAAAACTTCTTTACCCTATCCCCACCCCCACCCCCACCTCAAAATAACCTCCTTATTATTACCTCCCTCATTCTCACATCTTGTTAACATTTTTTCTTGTCATCTTCAATATTCAAGAATTTTCTTTGTTTCAAATGGCTTTAATGCTAGATAATTGTGAAGGCATATTACTTTCATTAGACTCACATAAATCAGTTCCAGCTCCATTTTTAACAAAAACATATCAACTTGTTGATGACCCTTCTACTGACCATATTGTTTCTTGGGGTGAAGATGATTCTACTTTTGTTGTTTGGCGTCCACCTGAATTTGCTCGTGATTTACTCCCTAATTACTTCAAACACAACAATTTCTCCAGCTTCGTACGTCAACTCAATACTTATGTAAGTATTTTTCATTTTAAACATTCTTCGTCTTTTGGTTTAGTTATAGTACTGATTATACATAAAAATACAATTCTTGATCTATTAGGGTTTCAGAAAAATCGTACCGGATCGATGGGAGTTCGCTAATGAGTTTTTCAAGAGAGGCGAAAAGCATTTATTATGCGAAATCCATCGGAGAAAAACAGCTCAGCCAGTACAAAGTATGTCAGTGAATCATCCCCATTCATATCATACGGGTTCGGGTTTTTTCCCAAATTACCCGAGTAATTATAACCCGCGGCTGAGTGTTTCTCCACCTGATTCGGATGATCAATTATATCAACAACAAAATATCAATTGGTGTGATTCGCCTTGTTCCAACAACAATAATGCGAGCAACAACAACACCAATACAGTAACGGCGTTGTCGGAGGACAACGACCGGTTACGTAGAAGCAACAATATGTTAATGTCGGAACTTGCACACATGAGGAAACTTTATAACGACATTATTTATTTCGTTCAAAATCATGTCAAACCTGTTACACCTAGCAGTTCGTACAATACTTGTTCACTATTACCTGCTTCAGCTACACCTATAGTCCAGAAGAATATGAATATTCATCATCATCAGTTTGGGTATCAACAAATTACAAACCCTAAAAATATTGTTATATCAAACATTAACACCAACAACATCGTATCACCAAGCAAGACATCACAAAGCAGTAGCGTGACGATACTTGATGAAGGTAATGGTGGTGATAATACAAGTACAAAATTATTTGGTGTTCCTCTTATGTCCAAGAAAAGAGTGCATCCTGAATATTCATCTTCATATTATTCGACTACGAATATGGTGGAGAAAAATAAGGCAAGATTAATGGTATTGGAAAAAAATGATCTAGGGTTAAATCTCATGCCTCCTTCTTCATCTTAGACTTTATTTTTTTACTATTATTATTCACCCACACTACCTTATTAAAGTTCAAGTTTTTGTTTCATTAGTGGATCATGAAATGTTGTACTTGTGAGTTTTTTTTTTTGGGGTCTTTGTGTAAATATAACTTATTTAACCATGAATGCAGGTGGGTTAATTTTTGTTATAATTGGAAAAAAAAAGTAATTAGTTTTTTTTTTTTAGATATCACTTATTTTTATGTGTGTTCTAATTCTTCTTCTCCTTTATTTCTGGTTTTGATTTATCTGAAGAAAATTTCAGTTGCATTTATTAATGCACACGAGAGAGAAAGTTATTATAAGGTTAGCTCTGAAATATGCTTTCTTCTTTTTCAGTTCAACTTATGTAAAAAGCTTATAATAACGTTCAGTCCATTGACAATTTTTTTTTCTCTGGGGCTTTCTCTCTGATCAATAAATTAATGAATTCTACGTACAAATACAAACAATTATTTTTAGGTGAAATTTTGAAATTTTGTAAAAAAGAGAGAGACGGTTAAATATATTTGAACCGAGAGTTTACGAGAAATAAGTTTTTTTTAATCTTTGTTATGTTAGTGTAGGTTTGTTAGATCATACACATCGCCATTTGAAAATTGGAAATACATGATTAATTATTTCAAAAAATTAAATTTATTCGGTGAATATTGATGAATTAGCACTAAGGATTGTGTAATTATTGAGGTAATTATTATTATTATCATCATAAGTAAGAAAGTTAAACTATGATCATGATTATTATTATGATTTATGGCTTCTATCTGATTATTAAGAATATTGTGGAGCATCTCAATTTCTCGTTTACTGAACTTGCACGGTCAGACACAAAAAAGTGAGTAAAAAAAACACAGAGATGTGAACAAAATCATGTACAGAACCTAGCAAAAAGATTAAAATAAATAAATAAAATATTTAAAAAAATGTTTAGCTATTCGATGATGATGAAATTATTTCTTTTTATAAAAAAAAAGTCTGGAAAATGTTTTTTTTTGTTTGATACGTTTCTATCAAGGCTTCTATACTTCTTCTGAAGAAAAAAAAACCTATGTCTTTTCCTACTTTAAGCATCTAATTTTGTTGTGTTTGAATGTGTCCACTTCTTCTTCTAACTTCTTTTATCATTAGTCATTCTTTGGATTTTTGCCTAAGGGAAAGGGAAAATGAAAGGGGAAGATAGGTTTTTTTTTTCTTTTTTCATTTGACTGGTGGTTAAGAAAACCAAATATCTTTCTTTTCTATGCCTACTTTACTTGTTCCTTTGTGTAACAATCATATACCAAGTAAAGTTTGTTTTTGCTTTTCTACACTACTCTCAATTTCCCCCTTTTTTCACTATTCTTTTTTTCTCCTAACAACTTAATGTAAATTCAAAGATTTGAATAAGTATAATCTTATTAGCTTATCAAAAGCTATAGGTAAAAGCAGAGTCAAGATTAGAAGTTGACACTAGTTTAATTTAAGCAAAAGCTAATGTACTAGTATCGAGATATGATTAAATGTATAGATAAAAGTGTGATTTTTTTTAATAACATATATGAGATGATAATCTATATACTTTATCATTGAATTCATGCAAACCTTAATATTGTAACTCTACACATGATTACTTATGTAAGGCATATCCCACTAGTGATATTGTTTGTTTTAATCCAATATCTACATGGCTATAAAACTTATTATTATGGTCTAGGACTTGTTTTGTTATATACTCCACACTTGATATTATTATATTTTATTATATGTATACTTGCTTTTGTAATTTATTTATTTATTTGTATAATTCGAATCGAAAGTAACGAATTCGTAGATCTACCTCAAGACAAATTCATTATTTGAAAGCTAAATGTAAACCAAGAAGAAGAAGACGTAGAAAAAAAGAGGTTTCTCAAATCTTGTATAAAAAAAAAGTGGTAGAGAAGTAAGCTGAGAAAATCTTGGCTCATGCAATTATTAAATTTGGTCTTATAATATGAGTGAAAAAAATATATAATAACCCTAACCTACCTATCTAGTTTGAATGAAGGGTGGGTTCGTTTAGACTTTCCTTGTGTCTTTTTCTATCGAGGAAGTGGCACGTGGTAGGAAGCTGCACGTGTAATACATAGAATTTGTAGAAGAATATATACATACACTTTAAAAAAAAATTCGATAATAGATTAGAGTTACGCAAATACTAATAACATATAGATTAGTTACAAGGAAATATATGTATTATGTTATGCATGTAGTTTTTTTAGTGTCAATTATTTCACCTTATATCATGTTTGTAATAATACATATACTCTCACAAAAATTAGACTCATATTAGTTATATAAAATTTCTAAAGTACAAATCAAACATTATATTAATTCTATAAATGAGTAACTTATTTCAAAATCAGATATTTAAATATAATATTATTAAATGAATATCTGCATAACTCATCTTCAAATCAGCAAACAATTAATGACGATTGCTCGAAAGAAAAAGAAAAAGGAATTAAAGATGGTGGAATGGGAATATTTGGGTCTATAGAAAAAAGTAAAATACGGATCATCCGGTTTAAAGATACTTTAATCGATTGTTGGTGTGTTGCTTAACAGCCGTATTGGACCATGACATGATTTTTGAAATTAGTGAAAAGCAAAAAAAAAAAGTTTTAAATTTTTTTTTATATAAATATTTGCATTTTATTATTAATAAAGTGAATGTAAAGATTGGAATTATCTATGTCGAGTCTTTTTAGTGTTACACTTTATTGACATTTTCCTTCGAAAATACTACCTTTATTGACGATTTAATAAACTTTGAATATATAGTACTTGTACTAAGTACTACTAATTAAATTACATGTATATATTGTAAAGTTTTTAGAAGAATCTTTTTTTCTCTACTTTAAACGAGTAGAAGGTTTGAAACTTTTTCTATTTCTACAATTTTCGAAACGTGCAATCATGGAGGAACTAATTGTTTCCTAGATAATTGTAAATGCTAATTAATTAATTAACATTATAATTATTACTACTTTGAAGACAATGTAATATAAATTCAAAAAAAAACACTGGCCCTATTAGAAGAATCCATGTTGATTTCATTTGTGATTTTAGTGTCTTAATCAGTTATAAACCAATTGATTGCTTTTATTTGACTTTTCCAAATTATGGGGGGGGGGGGGGGCATGTTTTTGAATACTTATTTGACTAATAATAGAGTGAGGATTAATCCAAAACACAATTAATAGTGCACCTTCCAAGGAGCAATGTCTCTAGTGCCATTTTTAGTCAAAACTTCAAATTCTCTTATACATGTGTGATAATTGATCATTGTGTTTTACACATGTTAAATTTCTTCAAAATTCATCAAGATAGTTTTTATGCATGTATAGTTTCATAATAGTAACTAGTATATCCTTGAAGTCATCCAATTAAAGAAATAATATATAGAAGAAATATATCAAATTAAAGAAATAATATTTTTTAATTTAGAAGTCCACTACAATATCCTTGATTTCAAACTTATAAAAGTGAAATTGAAGGACAATCTTAATGTTAGAAACTTATAAAAGTAGCCATTCAAAATATAAAAAGGATGAAAATTGTTTATTTTTTAATACTTCAAGGATGTTTCTGCTAAGAATGATACGTTAAGGAGGTAGTTGAAGTTTGAAGTATAGTTTAAGGATTTTTTTAGCCAAAAACTCTATTTATCTATTTTAACATGTTTTAACTAATTGTTATGTTATTTTCATACTAAAAGTGTGATTAAATGGTAGGTAAATGTTGATTAGTGCCTAGTGGTCTAAAAAGTGGTACATATCCATTTGAACTGTTTATGGGCTTCTTGGGCCGAACTGTTAGGGGGGAATTGCAATGTTAATGGGCCTTATGGGCCAAGCTGTTATAGAGAATTGCAATGTTTATGGGCTTGTTTGGGCCAAACTTGCCCAGCCCAAATATTAATAGACCCTGAAGTAACCAACGTTCTTCAAATAATTTCAAACTCGCGCAAAAACTCGAAACTGTTCCGGCAGTCAACAATACAGCGAGTGCTTCTTGCAAAACCTACTAAATGACGGAGCCGGAATTGGTAATCGTCTCATCGCCGACTGACGCTGGTATTGGCTGTTGGGACCTCCATACCGGCGCCGAGCATCTCCGATATCGAACTTGCTCCTCACCTTCTCACGGCCTCACCTGTGTCGGCGGCCGCTTTCTGGCCTCCTCTCAACTCCGTGAAACTAAATCTTCCTCAGGATCTATCCTGTACTGGTCATGGAACAAGGTAAATAACAAAAATTTCACTCGTATTACGTGTGGCTTTGTTAATTCACATTTTTGTAGAATGTAGTTAAGCTGTTTGATTAGTTGCCTATTAGAAAGCTTGGTTTTGTTAGAACTGTTATGTATATCTATAGTGCTGCAATTATTGATTTTTTATTAATTACATTTGTGTAGCCTCAAGTGGAAGTTAAAAGCTTCCCAGCCGAACCTATAAATCCACTTGTTTCCAATAGTGAGGGAACTTATATAGCCGGAGGAGGTGCATCCGGCGAAATTTACTTGTGGCAGGTTTATACCAAGTCAATCTGTCTTCTAGTAATTCAACTCGTTGTGTCTAGCAATCCGATTAAATGTTCTATGTTTTATTTTTATTTATAGGTTGCGACTGGGAAACTGCTTAAGAAGTGGCATGCTCACTATAGGGCGGTTACTTGCTTGTTATTCAATGATGATCAATCACTTCTGATTTCTGGTTCAGAGGATGGATCTGTTCGAGTTTGGTCTCTTATAATGTATTATTTTCTTCATATGTCTTGTCTAGCTTATGTTTGATGATCTGAGGTCTAATATCCTTAAATTGATTGACATTAGGGTATTTGATGACTTGTTGAGAGGTAAAGCAAGACAACCTTATGAGTTTAGTTTCTCTGAGCATTCTTTGAAGGTGACTGATGTTGTGATTGGGTACGGCGGAGCTAATGCAATTATTGTATCTGCTTCAGAAGATAGAACTTGCAAGGTTTGCCTTGTATTTTATGGCTAAGTAATTGTTCGTGCTTTTTGGTAAACTTGTTG